GTTACATTTTGGTTACTTGCCATTAAAAAATTAATAGAATTGTTGATATGATATTTATAAAAAAAATTATCGAGAGGACTTACTTTGGTAGTCATCGAGAGGGTGCCTTCCATTATTGAGGGTTGAGCGACAGTTCTTGAAGTTACCACAATAAAAGAACTTTGATGTTTGTGTGCCTTAATAGTGTAGCATCATCAACATGTACTAAGATAGAGTTTTCCCTAAAATACTCATTTTTTGTATGGAATAAGATCAAACTTTTAATCCATAAATTTATCTGGATGGATCTGTCTTGTTAGAAATTTATTTTGGGTCTTATCAAGATCTTTCCTAAAAATACAATCGTCGATACCTCGTTTGTAACTGTCACCTGCCACAAGCTCAAAAGCGACACTAGCAAGTTTATTTTGGGTCTGACGCATGCATTAGCCCAAGCCTAACTTGATGCGATGTTCATTGTCATGCAGGACCAGTTAGATGAGCCGTAGAAAGTATGTTAAACCGGTGGTGGTCCTATTCTTCATCCGCAGGAGGTGGGCTTTGAATGTCATTTGTTTACTCTAATAAAGCGTGTAATTTCAAAAACAAAAACATAGGAAGTAACCCATGGCAATTATTTTCATTAGGGCATTTTTTTAATCTTCATTTCACAGTTACTGCATCACTTGTTTTTCAATTTGGTAAAGCAAAATGGATATAATTACTTGGGGTGAACTTGCATTAAGTTGGACGATATGGTCCTTTATGGATTGTCCGAGTCAGGTTAGATTATTTCTTTAGAAGATTAAAATTATGTTAATTTTGTTTAATATTTTTGGCTACTTGTTTTTTTTACTTGGATAGATTTAGGATCGAGCCTAGAAATTAAGAAAAACAAAAATTTATTATCTTAACTATCACTTTTGTTTCGTTTTGGTCATTCAATTATTATTATTATTATTATTATTTTGAAAATCATATCTAATGTTACATTTTGATCAATTGTTATTAAAAATTTAATAGAATTATTGTCGTGATATTTTTTTAAAAAAATAATGTTGATGTGATATTATATTATGGTGATACATTAATTTTCTTTAAATATATGGGGACTTACTTGGTAATTATCGGGGGTATGTCTGTCATTAATGAGGGTTGAGCGACAGTTGCTGAAGTGACCACATTATTATTATTATTTTGAAAATCATATCTAATGTTACATTTTGATCAATTGTTATTAAAAATTTAATAGAATTATTGTCGTGATATTTTTAAAAAAAAATAATGTTGATGTGATATTATATTATGGTGATACATTAATTTTCTTTAAATATATGGGGATTTACTTGGTAATTATCGGGGGTATGTCTGTCATTAATGAGGGTTGAGCGACAGTTGCTGAAGTGACCACATTATTATTATTTTGAAAATCATATCTAATGTTACATTTTGATCAATTGTTATTAAAAATTTAATAGAATTATTGTCGTGATATTTTTAAAAAAAATAATGTTGATGTGATATTATATTATGGTGATACATTAATTTTCTTTAAATATATGGGGATTTACTTGGTAATTATCGGGGGTATGTCTGTCATTAATGAGGGTTGAGCGACAGTTGCTGAAGTGACCACAATAGAAGAATAACTTTGATGTTTGTGTGCCCTAACGGTGTTGTATAATTAACATGTACTAGAGAGTTTTTCTAAAATGCTCATTTTTTTTTTGCATGGTATCGGATTAGACTTTTAATCCAAAAATTTATCTCGATAACCTTTCGCGTTAGAAATTTATTTTGGGTCTTATCGAGATTTTTCCTAAAAATACAATCATCGATACCTCATTTATACTTGTCACCTGCCACAAGCTCAAAAATGGCATTAGCAAATTTTTAAACATATTGACATGGTATGAACTTATATGAATGTTTGAGTATGACATGATTGACTGATTCTTTTCTGTTATGAGGTGTTTCACAATCACTGCATCAATTGTTGGAGGAAACAATCGGGTAGTGTCGATCGTTGATGGTTCACCCCTTTGATTTTGACGGAAAGTCACAGTCGTTGCAAATATGATCATTAGTCGATGGATTTCTATGAGGAAAGGGAGAAGAAAATAGCATGTGAAAAAAGATGAATAATCTAGACCAGGAGGAGACAGGCAGAGCCCCTCTTTTTACATTTCTTCGGGGTGTAAATACCTTAGTTATAGGGTAGCTTGTGTCAGATCTAGGGACATCATTAGTTAATAGGCTGGCAGACTATGAAGATATAGCTATCAACTATCAGAATTGGTTTTGTCGAAGGCTGGAGAGTGATCCCGACAGAGGATGTTTCTGAAGATGGTGTAGTGGCTCAAAAGAATTTTTAAAGGCTCTGCTCAGAGGAGAAAAGTAACGTGGGAGAAAAGATGAATAATATAGACAGAGAGAGAGAGAGAAATCCCCTCTTTTTTCCTTTTTGCGGGATATAAATATTTCAACTATAGGACAATTGGTGTCAAATATAAGGTAATCAAGCAATCAATAGGTTAATAGGCTAAACAAATATAGCTTTCAATTATCAAATTTGGCTCTATCAAAGACCACATCAAAAACTAAGAAGTATGGATTTTAGAGAGTGATCCCAATAAAAGATGTTTTCGGAGATAATACGGTGTCTCCAAAATTTTTTTGGTGACTCTACTAAGACGATAGAATCTTCCTAAAGTCTTTATTAACAGAAAATTAATTTTTTCCCAAAATCATCTTCGAAGATCTAATAATATTTGAATTATTTGACATCCCAAATCTTTGTCCTCTTTCACGAGGACCTGAGTTTGGATTCATGCAGAAGAAATTTTTGAGCCGTGGTTGGATTGATCACGATGATGGCAACTCTTTCAATGGAATGAACTTTTTCTTTAATAAAACCTATAAACAATAATTAATATATATAATAAAGTTTATGTCAATAATTCTACTATGGTGATACAAACCCTTGTAATGGACTCGGGTTTGAGTACTACCGGAATCAAATAAAATTTCGAACTTTGACAAAATTCATGAATCGATTGTTTCAGTTTTATAATCTGTTCAATCGATTTCATATCATAGTTTTCAACAGGTTTACTTCAATATTCTAATGATTTAAATTAGATGTTCGAATAAGATAATCAATCTACTTTCGATATGATTTTAACATCACTGAGAATGATAAGATATTAGATTTTTTAAATAACATTCACTGTTTACTTTCTCGTATTGTTAATTAAATAATTTAGATTACAAAATTATTCTATAATAAATTTTTACAATATTTTATATATGAATTAATCAATTGATAAATAAGATATAAATAATTATATTAAAAAAAATCTTATAACTACAGGGTTTATGAGAAGGGCTCATACCCCTCTCTAATTTTTTGTGTTTAAATACATTTAAAGTTTTTATAAGATTTGGAAGTAATCAAATTAAAAATGGAATCTTTATTTTTTTTTGTTTTAAATACATTTTAAGTCATATAAATTTAAATTAAACTTTGACCTATTTTTTATTTAAATACTTATTGGTCCTGTAAACTTTAAAAATCAGATAAATTAGCTTTTAGCTTTTGGTTATTTGATTTAAATTCTTTTTAAATCTTTATTGATTTTAAATTAAATAATTTACTTCTAATTTTATATCTTGATTTCATCCCCAAATATATTTGTATCATATTTGATAATTCATTGTAAAGTAAAGTTAATCGTTCTCAGCCACTCAATCAAGCACATTTGATTGGTTGATCAAGTTGCTGATCTTTGTTTCCTCATATTTTTTTATGTCATTTATTCTAGACTCACTAGGATTACTCCCTTTCCTTCCACTAAAATCTTCATTCTCCTCCCCTTTAAGTACGATTAAGATTAGAATTAGAATTTATATTAAAAAAAATAATTCTCAGCCACCCCAAAGGTGCATTTAATGTAATTTTCCAGGCTTTCAATTTTCATTGATGTCCATCAAACCCTAATAATGGCTATAAACCTTATAAACAAGTTGTGTTGATGTCAATTAATTAATTTTTTTTTTTGTGATTTCACAGAAATTTAACTATCACTTAACTTGTTAGAAAGTTAGGTTGCCTTGGCGGAATCTACAATGTATAAATATATACATAAAAAGTATGACCCATATTCTTATTTATTTTTCCTAAGATTCTTTTGATTCATCTACCCTTCTTCGATTATGACTTTCTTAGTATTAATTTTGGGCCAAACCAAATTTTCTAATGACTTGATGACAATGTTGCCATCAAACACCAAGCCACGATTATATTTTGGAGAGGTAACGAGATTATTATGTTAGTCAATGTCAGTTTAATCCTTCTAGTTTGGATGAAGAATTATAACTGATAAAAAATATTCTATGAATAATTTACATCGTTTGATTAATCAGATTTGAAGTGTATAAAAAAACTCGTAAAAAGAAGCCTCCTTTCAATTTTAGTTGAGATTTTTATAACGACCCTTAGTTTTGAGTGAAACATAAAGTCATGATGATTAATCGTAGGTCGACAGGTTAAATAGATCTATCGTCAAATAGTATATTACACATTACATGGATCTGCCATTGATCATATCAAGGTGTTGTAGCAAGCCGAGGACATAGGACTCCAAAAGATGATAGTAAATCGGAGGGAGTCCGGAAGAAGTACAATACTTCTTGAAGGCAAGAAATTTCGATGGCTTGGTGGAATTTGAGAGACTTTAACACTCAATAAATAAAGAAATGATAGCGAAAATATTACTTCTAAAAAAGATCTGCATGAGGTATAATACATTTAATAGAAAAATATCGTTTTAATCTTGATTTAATCTAAATATGGAAATCGAATTTGAACAGTTTATCTTCTCTGTGTAGAAAACATCATTTCGATCTTGATTTACACTAAATTCTGAAATTAAGTTGGGACAACTCATCCCTTCCACTTATTACTATATATATATATTCACACCGAACGCCTCAATCATGCATTCTTTTCTGGGCAAAACTTGAAGAACACTTGCAGGTCGAATTATATATTTTACTTTGTACACACGCGGGACATGGCCGTGAAAATCCAAATTTCATCCATGAATCATTTTAATGAAACGCCCCACACGAAGCACAAAAACATGAAATCATCGTCGAGCCTCGTCGAGTGTTGTATGTGTGGAGATCCTGGTATTACTCGAGAGCTTTTTCGATGCAAAATTTGTCATTTCAGAGCTCAACACAGGTACTAGTTCTATGTTTTCCATCCTTTTTTTCTTTCTGGGTTTTTATTTTCATTGACCAGGAATGAGATTTTCTTCCCCTTTTTTCCTGGGAAAGATGATAAAGATCATCATAATTCATGGGGGGGGGGGTTTGGGCTTATTTATTGCAGATATTGCAGTAATCTGTATCCGAAATCCAAGTCTTATAAAGTTTGTAATTGGTGTTTGAATCAGAAGGATGACTCGAAGGAAATGTCTCAGAATTCATTGAATTCTTCGTCTTCTTGTAAAAGCAAAATCGAATTAAAGCAGCAGCAGAAACTGATAAAAAATCCCATGAAGAAACCAAATTCAGAAGAGAAATCATGTCCGAGAAAGAAGAGGAAAAGGATCATATCGAATGATTGTTTACCAGACACGATGAGAGGAACAAAGTCAGAAGAGAAATCAAAGAATGGGGTCATTACAAGACATGTGTTCAGGAACAAGGTAAGAAGATATAAGCTTTTGGAAGAGGTTTCAAGTTAATTATTCTTTGGAAGTATGGATACGTATACAAGAGTTGTTTTCTTTTCTTTTCTTTTCTTCCAAACAAATAAAATCTGTGTACCTGAGAAAAAAATGTTCTGGAATGATGCTAACCATGGTTACCGTTTTCAGTATTTGATGTTTTTATAATGCATAAGTAAAGATCGTTAAGGGAAAGTTCCTTCAAAACGCAATGGAATTTGCTAAGTAATACTTCATCCTCTACCTCTCTATTAATCGGATCATTACCTAAATCTAAAAAGTTTTTGTGGTGAAAAACTTGAGGAAGTAAATTTTTTTAGGGTAAACTACATTTTTAGTACCTAAACTATACTTTTGCTCTGTTTTGATACCTAAAATTTATTTTGTTTCAAAAGCATACATGACGTTTAGTTTATATTTCATTTTGGTTCCTTGCCTTTAAAAATTTGACGATGATATTGATGTGCCACCCTAAGGTAATGTTATGTCTTCATTGAGAAAAATTAAAAAAAGATATATAATGTTAGCAGTTCTCTTAATTTTTTAAGACGGTGTACCAAATTGAAACCTAAATTAAATGTTAGGTATGATTTTAAAAAAGAATAAATTTTAGATGCCAAATTAGAACAAAAGTAATAGTTTAAATATTAAACATATAGTTTACCCTTTTCCATTAGTAGTTAAGTGCGTGTCCATTCGGTCAATTACTTGTCTCATTGTTTTGAAGTTATTTTGTTGTTATATTATGTCTAAATTGAACTCCAAGTTTTAGATGATCATTCCATATTAAATTATACAAGGAAATTTTGTTGTTATATTTTTTGTTTTGTTTTAATACTGATTACAATATAGTATTTGTTCATAATTTTTTTTAATCTATTGATAAAGCACACATATAATACAAACGTAGCTGCTTGAACCTAAAATTTCTAAAGAGAATAACGTTATATTTTACCGATGAGTTCATTAAATGAGCTCATTTTCAAAGATTACTTTAAAAGAAATAAAGTAATTTTGAATATTTCAAGCTTATAATATTAAAAATTATGTTTAAAAAAACATTTAGAATATTTTGTCAAGATGGGAAAAGGAGTTGATAAAGATTTGGTTGACTTAAGTAAACTCAATTGGGCAAAGCATAAACCAAGTCTTCTTTTCTTTTTATTTGTTCCTTATTCTCACCAATCAGTTGTTGACTTGACTTGTATTTAGATTGTAGCTGGTAAATTCTTGTCACTTGATCCTGTTCAGTGTTCCCATATGTCATATTAGATCCACTCGGTTACAACAAATAAATTATAAACAAACAAACGTGTGGGGGATGATTTCAAGCACGTGTTCACGTATTTAGCCCAATTAATTGAGAAATTTTAAAAATTTCTTTCTTAAACGGAGCTTTAAACACCAACATTATTCGATTTCAAAGACTTATTGACACGACTTCTAACCGACATACATTAAAAATCTTTATAAAACCTCTTAAGCATGACCGAGAGAGGGAGAGACCATAATGAAATCGCCTTTAACTCTTCAGTCTCCTCTATTTTACTTCTTCGTGGAGACAATATTTTAAAATCGATTAACGACTGAAATTTCATCAGTTATGATTTTTCATCCAAATCAAAATGGATGAACCGTCAATAATCGTCATAATTTATTTGACTTCATCGATAAATGATAGGATGAGCATGAAACACCTTTAATATAAAAAAAATCAGTCAAAATACACATCTGAATGCACAATAACTAACATCATCCCACACTAATAAACATAGTCCGGTCATATATTTTGGACTTAGCTGTTGGGTCTTAAAGCTTTAATTAGGGTATTGGGTTACCATATGGATTTGGGGTATCAAATTGTAGGACTTGGTTAATAAGTCTACTTTAATGGATTAATGTATTTTATGGGTTTGATTTGAATATGGACATTTATTTTATTTTAGGTTAAATTTCATTTAGGAATTGGGTCTCCTAAGATGTGCTCAACAAAATTAAGGTATTATAATATTTAATTATTTTTATCTAATCAACAATTAATTGATCTAGTAAGAAGAAATATTAAATTTTGAATCCTGACGCTATGAATGAAATAAATTAAATTAGGAGAATCATCATCATAAAGGATATAATTTATGATACTTGATTTAAATTAATCGATCGATAGATTAAATACTAATGATAAGAAATTATTGAAATAAATTTTAGTTGATACTAAACATGGTATTCGATCTCATGCTATCATCCTCTCATAAAGGAAAACTAGGCCCCAAACTTAAAGCCATTGGAGATGGTCTATTAGATATAAGGATTGAACTTTACTTATGAAGAGTTTGATATTAATTATATTTATTTTAAAAAAATAATACTAAATTATCTTTAATGAAATTTTATCTATTTTTAAAAAAAGATCAAGTATAATCAAACCATTTAACAAAATGATACCTTACAACCGTAAAACATATCCACCAACAATTGATGAGTGTAAGAAACAATTGAATATCGAAGTGTCTCAAAATAAATGCAATATAATACATGTCAAGGATACTTCAACAATGGCAAATCTGGCTCAACATCTATTCCATCTACATCGAAGAAACCTTTCCGGGACACGTTATAAGGTTCGATAAGATCAATGTTACAAGGTACGAGGCTGCAACGCTCGCTGGAGATTCTTAACGGCGCCGTCATAGTGTACAAACCCCATGAACCAAAATTCATGGTTGTCAACCGATATAATCTGAATGTATTTCTCAGCTGTATTGGCTTTGCTTGTTGATGGATTCACTGCCCTCAGCTGATGTAATGGAATAACCACCTAAAAATCACACATTACAACATGTTTAGATAACAAAGAGAAGCAGATATGTATAGTTATAAACACATTTATCCCTGTTAATAGGAGTTGCAGACGGGATACATTCGATTTCCCCCCAAAATTTTCATGTTTTCAGATAGTCCTTGGAGATCATATCCCTGTTATAAATTCAGCATACCGACATCGATTTATGTCGATGCTTAAACCAAACCATTAGCCACAAAAGCAACGATTTGAACAATTGCGACTCATAGTATTAAGGCAGTATACCTTATAGTAGCTCCAGTGAGTATGTGCACCAGCTTGATAAGACAGGGGACTGTCGCTACAAAAAGCAAGCTTTTGAGTTGACAAATACAAAACTCCGATAACAGGACCCGCCGAGGTGGACAAGTAACATGCATAAGTCTTGAGAAGTTGTTCCTCAGGAACAGTCTCAAATGTTGTTCGAAATATCTTATCATAACCGCCTTCTGCGAGGACTTTGGTGCCCTGAGCAATTCTTCCTACAGTGGCATCGGCAAAACTCGGCCCGGTTTTCACTGTTGCAATGAAAGAAGTACGAACTTATCATGCATACTTCATATAATGTTAGAATAGCCTAACATGAAGTTTCTGGTTTGGATTCCATTTTCTGTATTTTCTATATACACTGAGATAACACAAGCATATGTTATGTATAAATTGGTTGAAATTCAATTTAATCATATATTTGAAAACTACAAAAACATCAATTCTAAATATCTCTACGAATTTCAAGTTTATATTACACAGATTATGCTATTTTTGAAATCAAAATTCATATTTCGAAAATGGAATTTAGTGAAGATAAATAATTACAGTGTTGCCACATGTTGCCTGCTATCGATTTTGCTTTTTTAGTCTCCTCCGCCGTTTTCTTTCCCCATTTCCCCAATACATTCTTCACTGATTCCAACTTGCCTGTTAAACAAAAGGGTTGAAAATTTTGAATCAAATTCAAAAGATTAAAAAGAAAAGAAAACAATAGGGTTTAGTATAAGTTGAAGCAAGTGGAGTTATTGGAAGTGGGTTACTCTTGGAGGAAGATGATTGAACCGGAGCAGGAGACACGTAAGGATTCGACTCAGTCGGCATGGTAGTAGCAGCACTGCCGGAGATCGGCGCCGTGCCTTGATTAGTCTGCGACTGGTGACCCATGGAAACGTTGGTCGAATTCTCCGGTGGAGGAGCGATGTCCTTCGGGTACGGAGCGTGATCAGCAGAGGAGGCCGGAGCCGGCACTTGGGTTGAGTCGGGGGATGTTATGGATTGGATGGTTTTGTTAGTATCGGACGGCAGTTGGCTCATGGTTTATATGTGTTTGGATGAGAAGAAAACGAAATGGAAAATATTTTGGAAGGAATATTCTATTTGGGGTTTGAATTTGCCTGCGTTTGAACTTATTTGAAATGAAAACGACTTACGCCGGCAATTGGCAGTTGGCCACACGACACGACCACAAACAACATAATAATATCCCACGACCGGACCAGGCCAGGCGTTATATACAAATAATTTATCGATTATATAATATTATTTTATTAAATTATTATATTATTAAAATTTATAAAATAATAATTTGACTATTTATTATGATATAAATTTGTTATTTTTCATCAAAAATTTAATGGTCGTCTGATATTGACATTAACGTAGTTAGTAAGATATGATAATCGTTTAAAATTATAATATCAGATTTTATTATATTTCAGTTAACAAGTTAACGTCTGCTTAGACTGTCGTCAATGCTTTAATGAAAAATGATGAGTTTGAAACATATGAATAGTCGAGTAATCATTTAGTAACTTTTAATTATCGATAAACTTAACAAAATAACACTTTATAATTGAATAATTATTTTATACCTTTAATAATCGATAAACTTAATAAAATAATACGATATAATTAAAAGACTATTTGGTACTTTACTCTTTAGTTTATGAATTGAGCCCAAACATTGTATTAGGTATCGAGTTGGGCTTTGTCGGTTAAAGTTGTATGGAATCTAATTCATATTCTTCAGATGTTTATTAACTCGTTCGATTATGAGTGTATATGAATAAAGTGTTTAATGAACCATTCGTAAATTGTTTATATAACATTTTTTATGTTTGTTTTTAAACTAAATAAATGAGTATAAATAAAATTTTTTATGTTCGTTTAATAGAGGAACAAAGATGAACATATATAGGTATTTTTGGTTCATTTATGTTTCATAACAAATTCGTTTTACAAGCTCGTTCATTTATTCATTTATTGTCTCGTTTACTCAAAAACTAAATTGTATAATATATAAAGGTTTACTTTTAATATGTTTTAATTTACTATCTTTAATTATAAATAATAATAATTTATTATATTTAGCACGAACTTTAGTGACATCGGTGGTAAAAGAATTATTGTTATTTCTTGAGGTCCTAAATTCAAGCACCAGAAATACCAGAAGTACAAGCATTCAATGCCAAAAAGGTTGATAATTATATTTGAACATATATTACTTTGTACTTACCCTGAATTAATCAAAAAATAATAATTTACTATCTTTAGAATATGTGAATTTAATTAAAACTAAATTATTTATAAATAACTGATTCTACGTAATAAAAACTAAAAAATAAAAGTCATTAAAATTCAAGAATTCAAATTTTGACGTTTATGAAATGAACAAATTAGATTGGAAAAGTCGTCGTTTCCTTTGTAATATTCGATCTGAAGTAATCGATTAATAAATCAGATAAATGGTTTATAATAAAATATATTAAAAATATTAATTATTACATCAAAGAGATGTATTATGTTTTTGATAAAAAAAAATCAATTTGACTGACAGTATTATACAAATTTTAGTTTCTCTTTTATATAAGGGTAAACTACACATTTAATACTCAATTATGACTTTTGTTCCGTTTCGGTGACTGAAGTATTTTTTTAATTATACTTAATATTATATTTTGGTTTCATTTTAGTCACCAATCGTTAAGAAATTAACGACACTGCTGATGTGACATTTTTTAAAGAATATTTTTAATGATGATGTAGCATTATCTTATGGTGATATGTCAACATAATGACGGATGATCAAAATGAAATCAAAAAATAACATTTTACATGATTTTGAAATAAAAAAGAATAGTTGAATGACCAACTGAATAAAAGTGATAGTTAGGGTACTACATGTAATTTACCCTTTGTATATTGTACTCTTGTGGGCAGGCATAAATCAAGCTCAGGCTTAGTAGATCATACTCCACTTCAGCGATTGAGTGCGCCGGAAATTTTGACTGATGATAGTGAGGAATACCTAATTTCCAATCATAATAAACTCTTTTTTTAATAAAAAAAACTTACTGATAACTCATTTCTTTGGGTAATTCTAAACGTAAGTTTAATTTATGATTAATTTAAAATAATTTTTAATTTGAAATATTATTTAATTTAATTTAAAAGTAATATAATTTATAACAGTTTTAGTTATAATTAAAAATATTTTAACAGATTTAAGATTTATAATTTAAAAAGCTATATAATTTGTAATAATCTCAATTGTAAAAAATATAATATATTTGATTTCAACATAAATTGTTACCCGTTCATCCTAAAAAATTATACTCTTGATAAATTTTTCGATTACAAACAATTTATACCGATTTAACTCTTATATTAACAAATTGTATTTTAGACTCTTCCCAGATATTTTGAATATAATTTTATAAATTTCTAAAAATATAAACGCCTAATAATCAAATGTTTCTCTATTTTGTTCATAAAATAAGTTTGATTGACATTAAACTGAATACAATAAAATAATTTATACTCTTATATTAATATTTTATATACTTATACACCGTATCTGTATGGTATTTTTAGATTGTGTCCTATGTAAAGTAAAAGGTTAGGCTGTTTTGGGACTTTGAAGCCATTTGATGTATACACACAACCAAATGAAGTTGAAGGTTGTGTACGTATGAGAAGTCAGATACAATTATTATTATTATTATTATTATTATTTGTTTGAGAACGTATCCACCAGATTAACGTCGCTGCTCAAACTCAAAATTCAGATCATACTGTCATCCAATATATCGGAAAGATTGATAAATACATAGAGAAACTTTGGCATTGGTCAATATCCGTATGGAGTTCTCAAACAAAACCTTGTTTTTCCTTTTTTTTAATAGTTTGGAATAGTTATAAGGGTATTATTTGTTTATAATTTTGTAATCATTGATAAGACAACGCGCACACGTATTATAGACGTAATTGTTCGAACTTATAGTATCAAAAAAATTATTTTTTAAATTTATTAAAATCACGTAATGTTATTAATAAAGTATAAATAATTAGAGTAGAGCTAACGCTTGAACGAAGAAAGCAAGCTAATGTATGTATGCTGTGCTGCACTCTATTTTTTTTTTTTGTATAAAAAACCAATAGGATTTGAATATTACCGTCAAAACTTTTGCTTCCAGTGTACCAATCTACGACATTGAGCATTTATTTTTCGTATTTTGCTTGATGAATTACTTATATATATATATATATATATATACACCAAAATTAGTATTATTTGAAACTAGAAAATATATTTTAAATAATTAAATTTTGTTACAACAATAATATAAATTGTTAAAAAACCTGATTATATTTTACCCGCAGTCTTTCTACTTCATAAGGAATGAAAGTCTGTAAAAAAAACCTAATATAAATCGAATATTATCAATTTAGTTTTAATATTTAAAAATATACTTTACTCTATATGAATATTTTAGTTTAAAATGATAAATTTATTGTTATTTGGTTTAAATATATCATTAATTAATTTTAGTTTCAAAAAAATTAAATCTAAATTGGTAGTGTCATGTCACTGCCTAATTGAAGATTAAATTTATTTGATTGAATTAAAATTAGAACTAAATTGATAGAATGCATAATTATACTAATTTTTTAACAACCACATTACCTCATTTGTTAAATGTTAACAACAAATGTCTTTATTGACACACTTAAATAGTTAAATTGTATGAATGATAAAATTTCAAAATCGGTGACTAAAATGAAATAGGACAATAGTTAAGTGACAATATGAATAGTTTACCCAAATAACTTTTTGATGTAGTAGAAAAACTTCCAATAGATTTTAATTATAAAAAATGTATATACTGTACACATTCTAAAAGTAAATTTTATAAATAAATTTTCCATTTTGAAAAATAATATCTTTTTAGAAGAAAACGAATGGATGGTTTTCTAATACTGAATTATTTTTTAATAATATATGGTAAGTATAAAATAGTATTTGTTCAAAAATAACTCTGAACCATTTGACATTAAACGTTCACACTCCCAACATTTTTTGTGCTCGAACTGAAACATCAAGTTATAAAAATAATTCATTTACCACTAAGCCGGTTGATTTGTGCTAATACTTAAAATTAACTTGAGTAATACCGGATAGTTTACTTTTTAACTAAAAGATAATCTGTAGATTGATTAAGAATAGTGGGTAATTGTAAAAGATAATTGTTTTATAATAATAATAATAGTTTGTTAACGTGACGCTATATGAAAAAAACTAAAGTGCACCTGTAAATTAATAATAATATTGTGAACAAAAAAGAGTTTAAAAGAAAAAGTGCACCTAGGGATGGCAATGGGTCGGGTCGGGCGGGTTTTTGGGCTACCTGACCCGACCCGAGAAGAAAGGGTTCTCCACCCGTGACCCGACTCGACCCGATAAAATTAATGTTTCACCCGACCCGACCCGAATATATGACTTAGAAACCCGACCCGACCCGACCTGAAATAAAAAAAAAAATTTAATTCAATGAAAACAGTGACTTAATTGAAAAAAATTATATATGGAGGGATATTATTGTAATTATCCCTAAATATATAAGATAAAATTATATATATTTTTCGAGTCGGGTCGGATTTTTTTTACCCTAAACCCGACCCGACCCGACCGAACAGTTCATTTAAAAAAAAAAACCCGACTCGACTCGACCCGACCCGACCCGAACCCAAATTTTATTTTAAAAAAATCCGACCCGATCGGGTCTGATCAGGTCGAAACCCGTCGGATTCGGGTTGAGTTGCCATCCCTAAGTGCACCTATACTATAATTAAATTCGTTGACAAAGTTAAAAGAAAAAGCTATACGAAATGCAGCAACCGACGTGAAGTGACGCTCGTATATAAAAAATAAGGGTAAATTATCCTACTATAATATGTTGTTTTGTTGAGTATTTTGATTATTAAAAGTTATAAAATAGTTGTTCGATTATAAAACGCTATTTTGTCGAGTCTTTAAAAAATTATAAAGTGATCGTCCGACTATTTATATGTTACAACCACGTTCTTTTTC